TGGGAGGCGCTTGCGCCAGTTGTCGAACGCGCTGCGTGGATAAACATAGAGCTGCAGTCAAACATATAGTCTTGCACCCGAGCAGAAATGCGCGCGCAGGTGTTATTACTTTTCAGGACGGTCTGGCGGTTCCTGCATGCTTGCGATCAGTCGGGCATGTCCCTCTACAGGGGGAAAACTCAAAAATAGTCAAAACATCGTATAAGGATTATTGTTTGAGTATGTTTGGGCATTTTTTGAGTTTTGTTTGAATCTTTTCTATCTTTCGTCCAAAATCCCCCTGCAGGGGGACAGGCCCGACCTACAGTCGGGGCCCTGAAGAAGGAACCCTTTTCGTTGGGGAGGGGCCCCGCGTTCCTTAAGTGTTTCGCAGCTTGCCTCAGGCTTTCCTTATGTTTCCGACCGGACATCGAAGGTTAGCTTATGGAAACAAGGGGCCTCGTTCCTTATTTAGGGTTCCTTAGGTCAACGCCCCTACTGTAATACTTGCGTTGGTCTGTGCCTGTGGCCCACGGGCCCACCTCCTCTGGCGCGAGATGGAGAGCCGGCGCGTGCCCCGCGCGGCCCAGGCGGCCACGCGCGGGCAGCTTACAACGACGCGGCCCGCGCGGCATCGCGCGCGGAGCGGCGTGCCCAAAAATGGGGGAACGCCTTCCCGAGCAGCGCGGCGTGGGCGCACGACGGGCATGGCTTGCGGTGCCCGAGCGCGCCTCCCAGACCCAGGAGCCCCCCCTCTCCCCGGGGGGCTCCCCAGAACGACGCGTCGCCCTCCCCCCATCCTTCCGCCGCCCCACCTCCCTGCCTCCTCCTCGTCCCCCTCCCCGTCTGCCCCAGCCCCCCGATCCCGCCGCTGGCTCCTCGCCCCCCCCCGGGTTCGCCCAGGCGCTGTCGGACATGGACGCCATGAAGAAGAGCGGGTGGATGTGCAAGGGCCTGGAGGCTCCGGGCGGAGGAGCGGAGGCGGAGGAAGCGGAGGGAAATGGATGACGCGGAGGAGGAGGAGGAGGAGGAGGAGGAGGAGGAGGAGGAGGAGGAGGAGGAAGAGGAAGAGGTGGAGGGGGTGGGGAGGAGGAGGGGGATGATGCTGCTGCTGATGATGATGCTGATGCAGATGCTGTTGTTGATGCTGATGATGATGGTGTTGTTGATGCTGGGGATGATGATGGTGATGATCAGGCGGATGATGGTGATGATACAGCTGATGATGATGCTGATGCTGATGGTGGTGATGATGATGATGGTGATAAGGGTGATGATAATGAGGACGATGATGATAGCGGAAGAAGATCAAATACATGATGCTGTTTATGAAGATGATTATGAGGATGATGACGGTGGTGGTGATGATGATGATGATGATCATGGTGGTGATGACGATGACGATGCTGATACTGATAGTTAATGATGATGAGGAGGATGATGATGCTCATGATCATGGTGATGGTGATGCTACTTCTGCTGATGATGCTGATGATGATGGTTGTGGTGGTGGTGGTGGCGATGATGATGATGCTGATGATGCTGATGATGAGGATGAGGATGAGGACGAGGATGATGCTGATGATGATGATGAGGATGATGATGAGGATGATGATGATGCTGATAATGATGTTGATGATGAGGATGAGGATGAGGATGAGGATGATGACGATGATGATGATGATGATCATGATGATTATGATGATGATGATGATGATGTTGATGATGATGATGATGATGATGATGCTGATGATGATGATGATGATTGATGATGATGATGATGATGATGATGATGATGATGATGATGATGATGATGATGATGATGATGATGATGATGATGATGATGATGATGATGATGATGATGATGATGATGATGATGATGATGATGATGATGATGATGATGATGATGATGATGATGATGATGATGATGATGATGATGATGATGATGATGATGATGATGATGATGATGATGATGATGATGATGATGATGATGATGATGATGATGATGATGATGATGATGATGATGATGATGATGATGATTGATGATGATGATGATGATGATGATGAGATGAGGAGGAGGAGGAGGAGGAGGAGGAGGAGGAGGAGGAGGAGGAGGAGGAGGAGGAGGAGGAGGAGAAAGACCGCCAGCCGCCGAAGCACTGCCCCCGCGGGCGCGGGATCCCCCAGAGGAGGCAGCAGAGGATGGTCGGGCAGTGCCGAGGGGGTTCACCAGTAGGGGCGGTGGGCAGCTCCTTCTGAGGATCAGGGTTCGGGGAACAAGGATCGAGGAGGTTATCCGACAAGGTCCCACCAAGACGGCCGAAGAGGGCCCTGGGATGGCCCAAGAGGCGCCCAAGACGGCCCTAAGACGGCCCAGCAGGCTTTCAACAAACATTGAGGAGGCCCCAAACAACCGTTCTCTACGCGGTCCGGACGTGGACCCCGCGAAGCGAGTGGAATCGAGGTGGGGGGAATGAAAATTGAGGAGGTTCTTGGACGACTTTGGGCGTTCGTTTCTGTTCCAGGGATGTTTGGGGGTCCCTGAAGAGTTTCTTTTCGAGGGTGTGGCGATCCCCCTGGTGGCTGGTGACCCCCCTTGGCCTTGCCTGGGTACCCAGGTTTCGGCAGCTCTTTCTGCTCCATCCCGGCGCCTCTTCCACCACGGAGCTCTGGCATCAGCCCGCGAGGCCCGAGCCCTGAAGCAGCAGCACCAAGGGGTGGAGGAAAGCAATGAGGCCGAGGGCCGAGGGCCGGGTCCCAACTTCAACCTCTCACTCTCGCTTGGAGCCTTCTCCCGTTGTGCTGCCCCTCGCCCCCCCTCCAGCCCGCCCGCCGTCACCGGTCCCACTGGCTCTCGTGCCAGGCTTCGCGCCTCGCCCGCCGCTCCTGCACTGGCCCTTCCCCCGCCCGGCTGCGCCGCGCACCGCGCGGCTCCGGGCGCTGGTCTCGGTGCCACTGCGTGGCTGCACGGCGGGGCCCCCCGGCCCTGAAGGCGGGAGGTGGCCCGCACGCGCCCGGCGCCGTTTGTTGTTTGTTTGTTTTTTGTTTTTTTGTGTTTTTTCTTCTTCTTCTTCTTCTTCTTCTTCTTTTGCTTTGCTCCTTCCCCCACAGTCGGGGGGGGGACAAAACCTCCACTCTGACACGTCGATTAGTGAATTGCCCGTTTTCGGTTCTCGAGAGGGCGCCGCGGCCGTCATTTTCCAGGCTTGCGCCCGCCAGGTTTGGGCCCGAGGTCGTGTTTACTAAACCACGTTTCACTAAATGAGGTTCTGTCCATCTCCGGCACAGGGTGCGGACGCCCCGGGCCCTGGAGATCTCTCGTCCCCTGCCCTGGGGGCGGTTCTGCATCCCGAGCAGGTTCCTTGGCGGCCCTGGGGCCGTTCTCTGCTTCCCAGACGTGCGACGTCCTGATTTTTTCAGGGCGGCGTCCCTGGAAGTCCCGACCCTTTGCCCGGGACCGGTCTTTCGTCCCGGGTCGTTTTGTGGCGGTCCCGAGGCCCATCGAGGGCCCCCAAAGGCTGAAAATAGTGAAGAACTTGCCGTCCTGATTTCGGCGACACCCCAACATACTTATACTATATGTGCGTCGCCCCCCCAAGGGTCGACCGACGCGCGCACCGAGAAATCTGATAGTACATGCGTCGTGGCGGGCGCTTTCTGGCCGCACCGCTCGGGAAACGATCTGCTACAAGATGGGCCTACTATCTGTTCCGGTCGGACGCGCGCCTCCCAGGAGGACAGACGGTATCAGTATGTCCCTGTGCGTCCTTGGACTCAGGCAAGCTTACTTGCATGGCGTTCGCCCCCCACCCCCCCCCTACCCCCCCCCTCGCCGCTCTTCAAGCGAATACTAGCGTGCAAGTGCCTTTCGACTTGCGTGATTTCCGCGCCCCCCCGAACGTGCAAGTCGTTGGCGGCTTGCTTCAGGCTCAGCCCCCCCCCCGTCCATGCAATCGGGGGACGAAATCTATACATATCCACTGCTCCCTGGCCAGGCCCATCCTGAACCCAGGAGCTGTGTATACGCCCTCCTGGCCAAACCAGGAGGGCGTGGCGTAAGTAAACTTGCCAGAGTCTAAAAAAACACGACGCGATCATGTCCGGGCTGCCCGTCCCCGGGGAAGCTGCCGGAGGACTCCCATAGTGAGGGCTCCGCCGCGGGAGCCTCTCGGCGTGCTCTCTGCGCCGCCCCCCCCCCCCCCCCTCGGCGGCAAACCTCTCGCCGGCGCCGCCCCCGGAGCTGGTGGCTGGCCGCGCGGCGTGTGCTGCCGCTCTGCCTCCCCGGCCTTCGCTTATGATGTTCCAGCCTGCTTTGGCCTCTCAGTCACCAGAAAGAGGATCTCGAGCCTCAGAAGAGGTGCCGCACCTCGGGGGCTTTCGCGAGCGTCGGGCCCTGGGAGAGAGGGACGCTCGTCCGCGACACCGTTTCGACGCTCCCTCGATACCTTTCCGGGTGCTCGAAGTCATTTCTGGGATGTGGTCCTTAAGTACGGTGGGAGCAACATAAGTCTCGGCTAGGGCGACGAGATTTATCCCTGGACTTTAGTCGGGCCTGTCCCTCTACAGGGGGAAGATTCACAGATAGTCAAGGAATAGTCGGGGGACGATTTTTTAGCATGTTTTGACTCGTTGGGGGCATTTTTTGGGAATGTTGCTAAGTTTTCGTCCAAAAGCCGCCTGTAGGGGGCAGGCCCGACCTAAGCCTAGACACTTTCCCGGCCACGCCCATCCTGAACCCAGCGGCGGTGTATGCGAATGGGGTGTGGCATAAAGGGGTATGGTGCCAATGTTGAGTCTGGCGGTACCATCTATCGTAGATCTCGACTTCCACGATTGGCACCACACCCCTTTGTGCCATACCCCTTTCCGATCTCCAGATCCACCCCGACCTGGATCGGCCAGGAGGGCGTGTACACAGCTGCTGGGTTCAGCATGGGCCTGGCCAGGGAGCAGTGGATATCTATAGACCTCGTCGCCCTATCGGCGAGGTCACGGACAAAGCCGACCGCGAGCACGTCAAGGAGTACGCACCTCTCTCTCTCTCTCGGGCCGGCGGCTTGCCCTCCCGCCTCCGCTCGGTCGTCGCGTCGCAGCCGCTGCGTCGGCGTAGCGGCGTCACCGTCCGCGGCGCCAGCGCTGGCGCCCTCGTTGTCGCCGTCGGTGTCGCCGTGGCGCAGTTGGTTTTTGTGCAGAGGAGGGCAATCATCGAGAGTAAAAGAAACCCTAACCCTAATAAGACAGTGAAGACGTGGCCTCGCTGAGGTCCCCATCCTTGCATTAGGGATCACACATCTGGGCGGTTTGGTTCGATACATCTGCAGAAAAGAGCGCCTGTCCCTAATGTTCTTGGCCTCCTAGCTTAGGTCCCTTCCCAAAGGATTAGAGGTCTTTCGTTGGTCAATCCGGAAATGTACCCATACCGCTACCCTTGCCTCGTCTTTCGTTTTTCAAGCCTCCTGGGAGGCCCTCGTCGCCACCGCTAGAGTCGCCTCGTGGTCAGAACGCACCACGGGAGAGGTCCGGGGAGTAGCGGTATCTGTACCTTTTTGTCTCCCCATTCGCTGGTCCTCAAACCTTCGCGTCGGCTTTTGGACACCTCCGTTGGCTCTCTGCCGGCTTCTCCGCCTGGGGGTGCAGCAGCCTGCGCCCCGCCGAGCGCGCTCCCGGAGTACCCGAATGCTGCCCGAACGGCCGCCAGAGGCCCGAGTCATGACCCGAAGGTCGACTCGGCGACGCGCCGCCAGGCGGTCGTCGGCGTTTGCGCCAGCGTTGGCGTCGTTTTCGCCCTCGTCTTTGCCCGTCGTCGTCGTCGTCGTCGTCGTCGTCGTCGTCGTCGTCGTCGTCGTCGTCGCCGTCGTCGTCGTCGCCGTCGGCGGCGGCGGCGGCGGCGGCGGCGCCGTCCGGGCTATCTCCGGGGGCTCGCTGCGCACAGCCCAGGGCCTTGCCACCCCTCCTCATCGTCCTCCGGCGAGATGCTGTGCCGAGCGCCGTAGGCTGCGGGGGGAGAGAACGGTAAGAGCTCCATCCTTGTAGGCTTCCATATCTTTCCTATATGGGGCCGTAAGTGCTTGACGTGAGCTTTACTTGGCCCCCAACGACTCCACCACCACCACCACCACCACCACCACCACCACCACCACCACCACCACCACCACCACCACCACCACCACCACCACCACCACCACCACCACCACCACCACCACCACCACCACCGCCGCCGCCGCCGCCGCCGCCGCCGCCGCCGCAGCCGCCGCCGCCGCCGCCGCCGTCGCCGCCGCCGCCGCCGCCGCCGCCGCCCTGGATCGGATCATGGCGCTGTGCGCCCCCAGAGGGGCAGAGCGGGACTCGTTGCTCTGCTGCTCCTCTTCCTCTACGCTTGCCCATCCTGCTCTTTTTCCGGGTGGCACGTGAGATTCGAGCTCGCTGGGGTTCGGAGCTGCCGAGGCTTCTCGGCGGGCTCGCCCTGGGCTTTGACGGCTCCGTTTTCGTGGGAGGTCCGCAGCGGGAGCTCGCGCCAAGTCTCGGGCTGGGTCTCCGCAGGCCCGTCCGAGCCACCCCGAGTCCGAGTTCTGCGTCTCCCCGCTCTTCCTCCCTCGGGGCCGCCAGCAAGTGGTGCCGTCGCGTGCACAACAGCCGTCGGTTGGACTAGCCGGTTGGTATTGAATCGGATTTTGGAACCTATACATTACCAGTGGCGCGCTGTTTTTCAACCCCAGGTTTTCTTGAGGGTCGAGGACGACGTCGGGGTGGTGTGGTGCATTCTTGTTTCTCCGTCGTCTTGGAGAAACAACGGAAAATGTATACACCAGGATCCAGTATACACTAGGATCCGCTTTATTGTTTGCGAGTTTCAGAGCAGGCCTGGAACTCGCGTCGGTGTATAGAGTTCGGTTCCCTATTGAGCAGCTTGCACACCTTGACGGCGATTCACCCTGGAGGCTGCAGTTGCTGGTGGCACTGCTTGCGTGAAAAAGCATATCCACCTCCTCCTCCTCCTCCTCCACGTCCTCCTCCTCCTCCTCCTCCTCCTCCTCCTCCTCCTCCTCCCTCGTGCCCGACCTCCGGTGGACTGCTGTTGCTGCAGGACCCCGCAGCGCGGACACACCGCTGCCTCGCGAGCCTCCACAACCCGAAGCCCTGCAGTTTCGAACATATTTCGAACATATTCGATTTACATTTTTTCATTTTTTCACATTTTTCTAAAAATCATTGTAATTGCGTTTTCCATCTGAATGTTAACTGTAATGATAGCCAAGATGATCGAGTCCAACGCGGCTATCCTCCAGGCTCTCGCCGTGCACCGGCAGGCGATGCAGCACCAGGCACCAGATCGGGCCGCCGAGGCCTCGAGCTGGTCGTCGTCTCTGTTCATCCACGGCCCCGCGGCGTGGAAGACGGCCCCCGGAGGCCGAAGCATGCAAGGGCGCCTTCGAGTGCGCGAGGTCACTCGCGCTTCGCGCTTCGCGGTTCGGCGCCGATCCCTGCCCATCCTCCTCTTCTCCCTTGGGCGGCAGCGCGAGGCCGCAAAGTTCTTCGCGCTTCGCGCTCCGCGCAGCGCGAACTTCAGAGCCCGTGGATACGAGAACACGCCCGGATTGACAGACATCCCTCCGCCCGAGGTCTGGCACTGGGGGGCCCCCTCCCCTCCCGCCCCCTCCCCTCCCTCCCCCTGCTGCCCGATCCTGGGGCCCTTGTGGAGCCCGGGCCCCCAGCTGCCGCGCCGAAGGCCGCCCGAAGACTCGGGGACGAGCAGGCCCAGTGCACACGCACCGACCCCGGCCATGCCCGGCCCGGGGCCCGGGATCGGTCTTACGTGTGCTTCCCCGGCCAAGCCACGAGGGCGGTTGCGGGGCTCGGGATGGGCCTGGTCAGCATCGGGGCATGTGCATTGTCCGCTTCCTTCAAAAGTGAAGGGGCCCCAGGACACGCAAATCAATACACACAGATAACAATGTCCCCCACATTTCCCTATGTGTTCTGGGTTTCTGTCTTCCCCCCCACTTCCCATATCTTCCCATCTTTTCTGAGGAATCGAGGATCCATTGTGTCGGTGTGCTTCTCTCCCTCCTGCAAGAGGTCGTCGAAGACCGCCGGACGACCGCCAGAGGACCGCCAGGAGACGGCCGAAGGCCGCCGACGGCGGCCCTCTCGGGGCCTGCCGTGGAGCAACCCCACGCCCCTGGGGCCTGGCCGCGGCGGGAGCGCCTCGACACCGGCTCTGTTCGGGTCGGACGAAAGGGGGGGATTGGGAAAGGGGGGGTTACGAAATTTGCTGCATGCAGCTGGTTTCGGCCCTACCGAGGGGCCCATTCCTCGATACATGGGCGCCTCCCGGCGCCGGGAGGCGCCGGGAAAATCAGCTACGTGAGCTGATCCTCAAACCCCCCTTTGCTATCCCCCCCTTTCGCCCGACCCGATCTGTGCGCGCGTGCCCTCGGCTGCTGCGCCAGCGCACCCATCTTGGCTGCCGCGTCCGCGCGCGCGGCGCCGTTCTCAGAGGCGGGCGCGCCGAGGCGCGCGGCCAGCGACACGGGGACTGGCCGATGGGTATTGGGGAGGAGGAGGAGGAGGAGGAGGAGGAGGAGGAGGAGGAGGAGGAGGAGGAGGAGGAGGAGGAGGACTGGATGCTCTTTGTTCTTTTCATTGTCTCAGGTCTGCCGCCCCCCTATGTTTTTACTGCTGCTAGGTCAGGCCTGCCTCTTTGCCCTGTCGTTCCTTTTTGTTATGTCCGGAAAGCTCATCACGTTTGGATCTGAGTGCCCGCTTAACGTAAGCGAAGAGGAGGAAGAAGACAATGAGGTCAAACAGTGGCGAAGCGTCCTGGCTTGTCCATAGGCCCATCAGGGAATGTTAGAATCACATAGGGTGGCTTGTGCGAAGTGTTTTCGTAGCATGTATGCCTGAGACTGTCTTGTTTAGATGCATCGGCTTGATGTCCTAACACGTTGTTGTTGGTGAAGTTGTTATTGTTGTTGGTGCTGTTGTTGTTGTTGCTGTTGTTGTTGTTGTTGTTGTTGTTGTTGTTGTTGTTGGTGGTGGTGGTGGTGTTGTTGTTGTTGTTGTTGTTGTATGTTGTTGTTGCTGCTGTTGTTTTGTTTTTGTTGTTGTTGTGGTTGTTGTTGTTGTGTTGTTGTTGTTGTTGTTGTTGTTGTTGTTTATGTTGTTGTTGTTGTTGTTGTTGTTGAACATTATTTCTTCTTAAGAATAATTATTGTTGGGACCCCTGGTGCACGACCCCCCCGCCGCGCCTAGGCCGCAGCACATTTTCATCATTTTCGTGAGGAAGTCTCAGGCAAAACGATTGTGTCCGGATCCGGTTGTTTTGTTGTAGTCCGTTTTCCCTTGCAAAAAACATTATAAAATGAAAATTCTTGTTCTTACTTGATCAAATTGCAAGAATCCCTTGCAAAAAATAAGGTAAAGTGGACATTCGTGCGCGCAAGACGAAATCCTTCCAAAACCTTAGGTTTCGTAACGATTTTAACATAAAAACATCAAAAACCCAATGGTTTTTTAAGAAAAAATTGTCAAAATGTCCTTCCGCGCGCGCTGTCCGAATCCTACAAAACCAATGGTTTTTCAACATTTATGTTACATGAGCTCGCGCGAGCTACTTTTTCTTGTTCTAACATAATCAAATTTCAATAATCCCTTGCAAAAAATAAGGTAAAGTGGACATTCGCGCGCGCAAGACGAAATCCTTCCAGAACCTTAGGTTTCGTAACGATTTCAACATAAAAACATCAAAAAGCCAATGGTTTTTCAAAAAAAAATGTCCAAATTTCATCCCGCGCGCGCTGTCCGACTCCCACAAAACCAATGGTTTTTCAACATTTATGTTACATAAGCTCGCGCGAGCTACTTTTTCTTGTTCTTACATAATCAAATTTCAACATCCCTTGCAAAAAAAAGTAAAGTGGACATTCGCGCGCGCAAGACCAACAAAAAACACGACGATCTCAGGAACTTGCCCCAAAAATGTGACCAACTCCGCTCTCTCTGTCTCTCTCTCTGTCTGCTC